GATTGCGATAACAGTTGTATGAGCCCCTAATAAAATGTTAAAAAAAAAAAAAAGAAAGAAAGAAAAAAAAAGAAAATAGTTTGGTCTTGGAAGGGTTAAAACAGTTTTTTAAAGGTAATATAATACCTTTTAAAAGTTAGTAACTTATCTTTAAAACATCTTCCCAACAGAGCAAGTGGAGCAAAGCAATGAAGTCCCTGGGGAATATCAAAAATAGACGTTGGAGCCAGGGCATGGCACCCCATCAGACTGGACCAAGAAAACACTCATAAAGGTCAACAAACAGACCTTGAATTATTTATAGGCATCTCTTTTTTGTCATTGGTTTTTCTTGTTTTGTTTTGCTTTGTCTTGTTTTTGCGCTTATTATTGTCTCTGCATGTCTATCTAGATAAGATAGGTGAGACAGACCATCTGGAGGAGAAAACAACAGGATCGACTGTTCAGAGGGAGGGGGACACACGGGAGAAGGGGAGGCGAGTGAAAGGAACGAGGGTGTCAACAAACCCAAGGACAAGGGAAACAACAAGGCATGGGATGCCTGGTGGGGCTTGATCAAGGGCAATGTAGCTGAGAGGAATCACTGAAACCCGAATGAAGGCTGAACATGATAGTGGGACAAGAGGAAAGGAAAAGGAAACAGAGGAAAAACTAGGAGGCAAAGGATATTTTTAGAGGTCTAAATACAAGCATGTACATATGTAAATATATTTATATATAATGGTAGGGAAATAGATCTATGTACACATATTTATATGTTAAGTATTAAGGTAGCACACAGACATTGGGTCTCTACTCAAGTACTGTACTCCCTCAATGTAAGAACACTTTGTTCTAATAACCTGGCATTCTGTGATGCTCACCTTCCCAACATGATCGCTGAAGACAAAATGGGTGCATAAACAAATGTGGTGAAGAAAGCTGATGGTGCCCGGCTATCAAAAGATATAGTGTCTGGGGTCTTAAAGGCTTGAAGATAAACAACCGACTATCTAGCTGAGAAGCAACAAAGCTCACATGGAAGAAGCACACCAGCTTGTGTGATCATGAGGTGTCGAAGGGATCAGGTATCTGTTATCAAAGACCCAGAACAAAAATCATATTGATGTGAATGAGGGGAAGGGTGTAACAGAGACCCTAAGTCCATCTGTAGACAATTGGACATGCCCTTACAGAAGGGTCACAAGGAAGAGATGAGTCAGTCAGAGTGCAATAGTGCCCCAATGAAACATACAATTTTCCTCTAGTTATTTAATGCATCCTCTCCCCCACTATCATAACCCCCATTCTACCTTACAAATTCGGCTAGACCAGAGTATGTACACGGGTACAGGTAAGAAAGAGTTCGAAACACAGGGAATCCAGGACATATAAACCCCTCAGGACCAATAATGAGAGTAGCGATACCAGGAGGCCAGGAGGGTAAGGGGAAGGTGGGGGGAGAAAGGGGAAACCAATCACAATGATCTATATATAACCCCCTCCCTCCCAGGGAGATGGGCAACAGAAAAGTGGGTGAAGGGAGACAGCGGCGATGTAAGACATGATATAAATTAGCAAGGGTTCATGAGGGGGGACATGAGCTGATCCCAAGGGCTCAAGAAGAAAATGTTTTGAGAATGATGATGGCAACATATGTACAAATGTGCTTGACATTTGGATGTATGTATGCATTTTGATAAGAGCTGAAAGAGCCCAATAAAATGATTAAAAAACCCCTCAAAAAACACCGTCTACTTCCCAATAGGCATAAAGGGAACATTGTAGACTTTCTTTCAGTGGTTCTCTGGTTCTAATCCAGAGCACAGGACCTAAGGTTAGGCCAGCTAGCATCATCATCAAACCAGTCACATCTCTTTTTATAAGCTATTCTCTCCCCGAGTTAAAAACGGTTTTAAGAAACCTGTGCAGTGAACTTACAAGTCAAAATAAAGCACCGAGATCCTTAGTTTAGCAAAGGGGGGCTGATATGTTATAGCAAGAGTTTTCATTTATAAAATGCAGTCAGTTTTAAAATCTTGACATGTCACCCTGAAGGACCCACCTGAAATAATTAGTAAACTAATATTAGACCTAAAAGACCAAACCCACTGCCACTGAATTTATTTTGACTCACAGTGACCCTTTGGGAAGAGTGGATCTGCCTGCCCCATAGGGTTTTGGAGACTGTAAATCTTAATGGGAGCAGATTGCCTCAGTTTTCTCCCAAAATGGCTGATGGGTTTGAATACTCAACCTTGTGGTTAGCAGGCCAATGTCGAACTCACTGCCATGGAGTTGAAGCCAATTCATAGGATCCTACAGGACAGGGTAGAACTGCCACTGTGGGTTTTCACTCTAGCTCTTTCCGGGAGTAGAAAGAAAGCCCTGTCTTTCTCCAGAGTAGCTGGTGGGTAGTTTTAACCTGCTGACCTTGTGATTTGCAGCCCAATGGGTAACCACAGTGCCACCAGGGCTCCTTAAATTAACATTTACATTCATAGGAGAGGATGTTTTTAATTAAAAACAACAAAAGACCCCAAAGTAGATATAGCTTGATGCAACATTCCTATCCAGTGAAAGGTTTTAAATATAACCAGACAAGTAGATGTTTTCTAAAATGTTAGTGACTGTATAAAGCTCAATAATTTATTACTATATCTTAATTATGTTACTACGAAATGGCTTTCAGGTACTATATTCGGTTATTAATTACAATTTAAAAGCATTTGAAAAGAGCTCAGTCAAAAAACTCTTGAATTTGAATAGA